TGGGACAAAATGTAAATTATGCCACCTGACAGAATGCAATGAGATACAAAAGCATCACTTTTGTGATATTCCTGCCAAAATTAGAGAACTAAATATAATTACGAGAAACAATCAAATACAAATTTGGCCCGTAATTAAAAGAAAAATACCAAGGTTATAAAAATCAAAGAAAGAGTGAGGAACTATTATTTCAAACTCAACATAATAAAAGCCATATATGAAATTCCCATAGCTAGTATCAGCCTCAGTGGGGAAAAATGGAGAGCTTTTCCTCTTCGGTCAGGAACAGGACAGGAATGACCACTCTCATCACTACTAGTTGACATAGTACTAGACGTCTCAGCCCCAGCAATCAGAAAACAAAAAGAAATAAAAGGCATCCAAATTGGCAGGAAGAAGTCAAACTTTCACTATTTGAAGATGACATGATACTCTATCTGGAAAACCCAAAAGACTCCACCAAAAAATTACTAAAACTAAATACATGAATTATGCAAAGCTGCAAGATATAAAGTCAACATACAGAAATCTGTTGCATTTCTATACACCGATAATGAAGCAGCAGAAAAAGAAATTAAAGAATCGATCCCATTTACACCTGCACCAAAACCAGTAAGATACTTAGGAATAAACCTAATGAAAAAGGTTAAAAGATCTGAAAACTACAGAACACTTATGAAAGAAATTGAAAAGAACACAAAGAAATAGGAAAAAAATTCCATGCTCATGGATTGGAAAAACAAACATGATTAAAATGTCTGTACTACCCAAAGCAATCTACACAATTAATGCAATCCCTATCAAAATATCACCAGCATTTCTCACAGAGCTAGAACAAACAATCCTAAAATTTGTATGGAATCACAAGAAACCGTGAATAGTCAAAGCAATCCTGACAAAGAAAAGCAAAGCTGGAGGCATCACAATTCCGGACTTCAAGCTATATTACCAAGCTGTAGTCATCAAGACAGTATGGTACTGGCACAAAAACAGACATAGATCAATGGAACAAAACAGAAAACCCAGAAATGGGCCCACAGCCATGTGGTCAATTCATGTTCAACAAAGCAGGAAAGAATATGTAATGAGAAAAAGGTTTCTTCAACAAATGCTGTTGGGAAAACTGGACAGCAACATGCAGAAGAATGACACTAGACCACTTTCCTACACCACACACAAAACTAAATTCCAAATGAATGAAAGACCTAAATGTGAGACAGGAAACCATCAAAATCCTAGAGGAGAATACAGGCAGCAACGTCTCCGACTTCAGCCATAGCAACTTCTTACCTGACACACTGATGGAGACAGGGGAAACAAAACCAAAAATGAACTATTAGCACTTCATCAAGATAAAAAGTTCTGCAGAGAAAAGGAAACAATCAACAAAACTAAAGGGCAGCCTATGGAATGGAAAAGATATATGCAAATGACATACCTGAAAAAGCGTTAGTATCTAAAGTCTATTAAGAACTTATCAAACTCAACACCCAAAAAACAAATAATCCAGTGAAGAAATGGGCAAAAGACATGAATAGACATTTTTCCAAAGACATCCAGATGGCTAACAGACACATGAAAAGATGTTCAACATCACACATCACCAGGGAAATACACATCAAAACCACAATGAGATACAACCTCACACCCGTCAGAATGGCTAACATTAACAACATAGGAAAACAACAGATGTTGGTGAGGACGTGGGCAAAGGGGAACCCTCTTGCACTGTTGGTGGGAATGCAAACTGCTGCAGCCACTCTGGAGAATAGTATGGAGGTTCCTCAGAAAGTTAGAAACAGAACTACCCTAGCCCTAGCAATTGCACTACTAGCTATTTACTCAAAGGATACAAAAATACTGATTTGAAGGGGCACATATACTCTGATGTTTACAGCACCATTAGCAACAATAGCCAAACCATGGAAAGAGCCCAGGTGTCCATCAACTGATGAATGGATAAAGGACACGTGTGTATATGCATGCGCATGTGTACACAGATGCACATATACACACAATGGAATATTACTCAGCCATTGAAAAGGATGAAATCTTGCCATGTGCAACAACATGGATGGAACTACACACTGTATTATGCTAAGTGAAATAAGTCAGTGAAAAAAAAAACAAATATCATAATTTCACTCATGTGGAATTTAGGAAACAAAATAGACGAACATATGGGAAGGGGGAAAAAAAGAATATATGGGAGGCAGGGAAGCAAACCATAAGAGATTCTTAATGATAGAGAACAAACACTGTTAATGGAAGGAGGTGGGTGGGGGACTGGCTAGATGGGTGATGAACACTCAGGAGGGCACTTGTTATGATGAGCACTGGGTGTTGTTATATGTAAATTATTAATCACCAAATTCTGATTCTGAAACCAATAATACATTATATGTCAACTAACTAGGATTTAAATAAAATCTTGGAAGAAACAAAAAACACAACAACAATAAAAAAAAAAACCCCAGAAACTGGGACATGTGTGATTCTGAATAGTCTTTGGATAAAATGGATAATATCGGATTAAATGACAAACTTTGAATAGGGCCAAACATTAGCTGGAAGAAGTGTATCAGTGTTACATTTCCAGATGGTTGAATTGTGGTTATATGGGATAATGCCCATGTTTGTAGGAAATATCAGAGAGTATTTTGGGTGATGGGTCATCAGCTTGGCAACTTACTCTTGAATGGCTAGGAAAAAAAAGTTCTTTATAGTGTTCTTAAAATTTTTCTGTATGTTTATGATTGTTGTAAAACTTAAGATAATTAATTGAAAATGAGCAAAACAACTCAATATTTTTAAAAGATACATATGTACTTGGCAAACCTATGAATAAAACCAGATGAAGGATGCGCCTGGGTGGCTCAGCTGTTAAGCGTCCGACTCTTGGTTTCAGCTGAGGTCATGATCTCAGTTTCAGGAGTTCGAGTCCCTCACTGGGCTCTGTGCTAACAGCACAGAGCCTGCTTGGATTATCTCTCTCCCTCCCTGTCTCTCCCCTACCCATGCTGTCTCTCTCTCAAAATAAAGGACTTAAAAAAAAAAAAGCAGAAGAATAACACAAATTCAGAATAGAGTATCTCCTGCACAAAAGGAAAGAAATATGACCAAAGAAAGGCACACAGATACATTGGTGTTTGTTCTGAGTGAGACAATATATGTATTTATCTTATTATTAATTTAACTATACATATATAACTTTTATGTAAAACATTTCTCTCCAAAATGTTTAAATGTTTTTAAATAAAGAAGGAAACCTATGCACAGTATGTTCCTACTTCTAATTAAAATGAACAAAAATTTTTGGGGTGCCTGGCTGGCTCACTTGGAAGAGCACGAAACTTGTAATCTCAGGATCACGAGTTCAAGCTCCATGATGGGGGTAGAGTTTACTTAAAAAATAAAATAGGAGCGCCTGGGTGGCTCAGTCGGTTGGGCGTCCGACTTCGGCTCAGGTCACGATCTCACGGTCCGTGAGTTCGAGCCCCGCATTGGGCTCTGTGCTGACGGCCCAGAGCCTGGAGCCCGTTTCAGATTCTGTGTCTCCCTCTCTCTCTGACCTTCCCCCATTCACGCTCTGTCTCTCTCTGTCTCAAAAATGAATAAACGTTAAAAAAAATTTAAAAAAAATTTTTTTATTTTAAATTTATTTTTATTTTTAATTTTTTTTAACGTTTATTCATTTTTGAGACAGAGAGAGACAGAGCGTGAATGGGGGAGGAGCAGAGAGAGAGGGAGACACAGAATCGGAAGCAGGGTCCAGGCTCTGGGCCATCAGCCCAGAGCCCGACGCGGGGCTCGAACTTACGGACCGCGAGATTGTGACCTGAGCCGAAGTCGGACACTCAACCAACTGAGCCACCCAGGCGCCCCAAAATATTAAAAATTTTAAGAGATAAAAGACTGGAAAAACCCATGAAACTGACAATAGTGATTATCTCCGGGTGATGGAATTTCAAATGACTTCAATTTCTTTCAATATTTTTCTGTATATTTTTCAACAGAAAATATGCATATAATGCTAACGACTGATTTTAAAATATATTAAAAATAATTCTTCTAAAATTATATATCTAGGGGCGCCTGGGTGGCTCAGTAGGGTAAGCATCTGACTCTTGATCTCAGCTCGGGTCACAATCTCACGGTTTGTGAGATGAGCCCTGTGACAGACTGCACTGACAATGCAAGACCTGCTTCATATTCTCTCTCCCTCCTTGTCTGTTCTTCCCTCACTTGTGCACACGTGTGCATGCTCTCTCTAAATAAAAAAATAAACATTAAACAAAAATGGTTACAGGGCACCAGGGCAGCTCAGTCACTTAAGTGTCCAACTTTGCTCAGGTCATGATCCCATCGTTGAGTTCAAGCCCCACATTGGGTTCTCTGCTGTCAGTGCAGAGCCTGCTTCGGGTCCTCTGTCCCCCTCGCTCTCTGCCCCTCCCTGGCTCACCTCGCTCTTTCTCTCTCAAAAATAAGCAAACATTAAAAAAAGATACTTTCAGGGGCGCCTGGGTGGCTCAGTCGGTTAAGTGTCCGACTTCAACTCAGGTCACGATCTCGCGGTCCGTGAGTTCGAGCCCCGCGTCGGGCTCTGGGCTAATGGCTCAGAGCCTGGAGCCTGTTTCACATTCTGTGTCTCCCTCTCTCTCTGCCCCTCCCCCGTTCATGCTCTGTCTCTCTCTGTCTCAAAAATAAAATAAAACGTTAAAAAAAATTAAAAAAAAAAGATACTTTCACTTAAAAACAATGTTTACAAAAGTAAATTAAAAATAAATTAATAAAATTACATATTTAGATATATAGGAAAACTAACCAAATGATAATCCATACAACAAACTGAAAATACTTCATCTCCAAAAATTTTTATTTTCATGATATGTTTAGAGAACTGCTAAGATCCTTGCTTAGTTCTTAAACTCTGCCTACTGAACTGAAAAGAAATTTAAAAAGGAAAAAAATTAAGACAAATAATGAAATGGAAGACTCACCTATGAGAAATGTTAAATTTCTGGACAATCCGTTTTCCATTGGCTAACCAGATCTGTACGTTAGTGATGGGTTCCAGGTTGTTTAGTTGAACAACAGACAAATTTTTATTCTCGACTTCAATACTCTTTGCCTTAGAAACAATTTTTGGTGTGGCACTAAGAAAATCCAGACAACAAAATCAGATGCATGTTGTTCATTAAGCAAAACCTTATCATTAAATAATTACTACAAAAATTTTACATTAAGTATACTTTAGCAAGATTTTAGTAAGTCAATGCTATTTCCTTAATAATAACAATATTATGTCCATCATATATGATGAGATGAATGTAGGAACCTAATGAAATTAGGCATATCTGAGTAATTTGTAAGACTGTAGAATGCTATGTAAATATATGATAAAATATTGTAAATATATTGTAATTATTTAAATAGCACCTTAGAGAATAATTTTACAGGGTTATTAGATCCACGGACTTTACCTTTACCTACTACTCCTCATTTCTGTAAGAAATGGGGCACCTGGGTGGCTCAGTCAGTTAGTGTTCGACTTCAGCTCAGGTCATGATCTCACAGTTCCTGAGATGGAGCCCCATGACAGGCTCTGTGCTGACAGCTCAGAGCCTGGAGCCTGTCTTCAGATTCTGTGACTCCCTCTCTCTCTGCCCTTCCCCTAATTGCGTTGTCTCTCTCTCTCTCTCTCTCTCTCTCTCTCTCTCTCTCTCTCTCTCTCCCAAAAATAAATAAAACTTTAAAAAAATTTTCTGTAAAAAATAAGTTTTCAAGAGATTAATGTTTGGGTTATAAAGGGGGAAAAAAAGGAAGCAAAGTATTTCCTGATTATTCTGAAAGTTACATCTGAATTTTTTTTAGTGTTTATTCATTTTTGAGACAGAGAGACAGAGCATGAGTGGGGGTAGGAGGGAATGTGTGCAGACAGAGAGAGGGAGACACAGAACTCAAAGCAGGTTCCATGCCGTCAGCACAGAGCCTAATGTGGGGCTCAAACTCACAAACCATGAGATCATAACCTGAGCTGAAGTTGGACGCTTAACGGAGCCACCCAGGTGCCTCGACATCTGAATATTTTTATATGTGTGGATGAATATGTAGTTAACTTTACCAACCTTGATAATATATGAGAATGCATAAAAATACAAGCAATCACGTATGTAACCTCTTTGTAATTGTGTCATAAGACAGATACGATGAAGACTGCAAAATGTGACACTAAAGGCTTTGATATGGATACTAACTTTATCATGCATTTTTCAGTTTTATTACCTCACAATTCAGATACTTATCACAGAACACAACGTTGAAGGCACTGATAAGTATAAAATTGAACCCTATATTCAAAACTTAACATATGTACTCTGTAACATTAATGGCAATGATCAAGGAGTGGGTGCAAGGGAGAAAAATTATATATACATCCAATTCTGCCTAATGTCCTAAATAATCCACGTCCTTTTAATTTGGTAAAATCAAAAAAGCCTCCACGATTTTTTTAGTGTACTACCAGCATGTGTTAATTTACACTAAAGTAAATAGGACCTAGGAGTCCTCATGAAAGTTAAGAATAATCTCACTTCCAATGAGAGAAATGATAAGCTCTTTATATATGGTCTATATTGTAAAATAATGACAAGCTGAGTATTAGTCAAGCCTCTGTTTATGGAAAACACAGCTAATGAGCCTATTTACCTTCCCAGTCTATGACCCTGTCCTGAAAAGGGCTGGAACACCGGCTTCGTTGACACACATACTTCATTTTTTTTGTCTTCAACTTTAACATCCACCTCCTCTTTATCAAAAATTCCCTGTAATTCCAAAGGTAATTCCCTAGGAAGGAAAAGAAACAAAGTGATAAAGCTCCCAATATGTTTTTTCTTTCTCTGAAAAACATATTCTGTATGCAAACAGAACTGAAAAATATGTAGAAATAAGAGGCATATATAATACAATAAAAAACTAAATATATTCTTAAAACTTTATTTTTAAGTAATCTCTCCACCCAATGTGGGGCTCAAACCCACAACCCAATCAAGAGTCAGATGTTCTACTGACTGAGCCAGCTATTTGCTCCCAAACTGGATGTATTTAAAATACAGTCAAATAAGGGGCGCCTGGGTGGCGCAGTCGGTTAAGCGTCCGACTTCAGCCAGGTCACGATCTCGCGGTCCGTGAGTTCGAGCCCCGCATCAGGCTCTGGGCTGATGGCTCAGAGCCTGGAGCCTGTCTCCGATTCTGTGTCTCCCTCTCTCTCTGCCCCTCCCCCGTTCATGCTCTGTCTCTCTCTGTCCCAAAAATAAATAAACGTTGAAAAAATAAAAATAAAAAAAAAAAAAATACAGTCAAATAAGATGAGTACCAAGAAGTAAGAACAATACAGAGTAATTTCTTTTCATGTTTGTTCATTTATTTTTGAGAGAGCCCACACACATGAGCTGGGGAGGGGCAACGAGAGAGGAAACACAGAATCTGAAACAGGCTCCAGGCTCTGAGCCGTCAGCACAGAGCCCAATGCTGGGCTCGAACGCACAAACTGTGGAGACCATGACCTGAACTGAAGTCAGATGCTTAACTGACTGAGCCACCCAGGTGCCCCAAGTACAGAGTTAATTTTTAAGACTACAAATTCATGAACAGCTTGAGTTACTCAGCAGTACCTAGAATAGTACTAAAGTCATGAAATATTTGATGACTATATTCTGCTAAATTTAAACAATTTGATCTCTTTATAGGTGTCTGAATAAAACTAAAAATGTGCTAGAAAAATCAGGCTCTCATTTCCACTTTTAAATAGAAATATAAAAACATTAAAAAATATATAGATTTACTCTACACATGATGAAATAAAATACAAAACATGTAGAATTTAAAAAAGCGTTTTCACATTTCATACTCCTAACAGAAAGATAAAGTAACACAGTTAGGACGTGGACTCCATCAGAGGCTCTGTCTCATATACCACAGATGCTTCTCTTCTGAACAAGGTAAACTTTTTTGAACCTTACGATCTTTTAAAAGCAGAGTCTTGGGGCGCCTGGGTGGCTCAGTTGGTTGAGCGTCTGACTTTGGCTCAGGTCATGATCTCGCAGTCCGTGACTTCGAGCCCTGCGTCGGGCTCTGTGCTGACCGCGCAGAGTCTGGAGCCTGTTTCAGATGCTGTGTCTCCCTCTCTCTCTGACCCTCCCCCATTCATGCTCTCTGTCTCAAAAATAAATAAACATTAAAAAAAAAAATTTTTAAAGCAGTCTTTTCTAATGAACACTTGAAAGTTTACAATGTTATGGAATACACAGATATATGAGCAATGAACTTCCATGGGAAAATTTTAACCAAATTACAAGTTTTAACATAATATAATTTTTTCTTGATAACTGAAATAATACAAATTCATTTTATACTTAGGATTTTTGTACTTTTCTGTATATGTTATACTTCAAAAAATTTTTATTTAAAAATAAGCAATACATGTTTGTTCTAAAAAAAAGGTGTAAAAAATGTAAACATAAGTCAACTTGGAAAGTGACAATCCTAGGGTACTTGGGTGGCTCAGTTGGTTAAGTGACTAACTCTTATTCTCAGCTCAGCTAATGATTTCATGGTTCCTGAGATCAAGCCCTGAGTCAGGTTTTGCACTGATGGGTGGAGCCTTCTTGGGATCCTCTCTCAATGCCCATCCCCCATCCCCCATACATTCACTCTCTCTCAAAATCAATAAATAAATAACTAAAAAGAAAGAAAGAGACATTCCTTATAAACCTACTCTCACTTTAATAAAAAAAAAACTGGGGCACCCGGCTGGCTCAGTTGGTAGACTATGCAATTCTTTCACTTTTTTTTTTTTTAAAGTAATCTCTACACCCAATGTAGGGCTCAAACACACAACCCCTAGGGCTCAGGAACCTGAGATCAAGAATCACATGTTCCACCAACTGAACCAGTCAGGCGCCCTGAGCATGCGATTCTTCATCTTGGTAGGGATTGTGAGTTCAAGCCCCATGTTGGGCCTAGAGCTTACATTAAAACAAAAACATAAACAACACACATTGGGGCACCTGGGTGGCTCAGTTAGTTAACTGTCTGACTTCAGCTCAGGTCATGATCTCGCAGTTCGTGAGTTCAAGCCCTGTGTCTGGGTCTGTGCTGAGAGCTCAGAGCCTGTAGCCTGCTTCAGATTCTGTGTCTCCCTCTCTCTCTGCCCCTCCCCCACTCATATTCTGTCTCTCTCTCTCTCTAGAAAATAAACATTAAAAAAAATTTTAAAACCCCACAAAACTCTGGTGTTTTATCTCCTAGATTTTCTCTATACATATAATAAAACTCCATGTAATTGTTTTATTTTTTCTGCAGATGGTATTGATGTATACAAATTATCAGTATTCTCTGCAAACTGCTTTTTTTTTTTTTTTAAGTTTATTTATCTGCTTTGAGAGAGACAGAGCACCAGCAGGGGAGAGGCAGTGAAAGAGAGAAAGAGAATCTCAAGCAGACTTGATGCTGTCAACACAGAGCCTGACGTGGGGCTGGATCTCACGAAGTGTGAGATGAAGACATGAGCCAAAATCAAGAGTCAGACGCTCAACTGACTGAGCTACCCAGGCGTCCCTGCAAACTTTTTAAAAATAAAAGATACCACGGAAATCTTCTCATGTTAATATATAGACGTATATCATTCACTTTTATCAAATGCATACTGTTATAAAGCAGATCAAGCGGTACAAATATATAAAATATTCTTTCCATTTTTTTCTTAGTGATTCATAGGAATTGTATATATATTCCATTTTCATGACATACATGAAACAAGTACTTCCAGTCTGGCAGTTCTCTTTTGACTGCATATAAGTGTTGCTGGCAAATATGTTTTTAATATTTATATAATGAGATTTATCTATATTTTTTACATTGCTTCAGGGATTCGTGCCAACCATAGCTATATGTAATAATGTGGATTCTGCCAAATGAAACGTTTAAAATATCCTTGAGTTTACAAAGAATGCTTACCCCTTTTTGATGGAGTTTAGAAACTGCTGACTTGCACCATCAGAGTAACTTCGGAAATCATCATTGACTGTGAATCCATTTTTCCATAATTTTATACTAACATCTACCTGCAAAAGAGTAAGAAAAAAAATGTATTACGTTAATAAAATGTACTAGATTAAAATTCTGAATTTTTTTTCTATTGTATATATTTTATGTATCATTCATTTCCTTTTTAAAATTGATAAAATTGACATATAACATTGTACTTACTTTTTAGTGTACAACAAAATGACCTTATATATGCACATACTGCGAGATGAGTATCACATTTTAGTTAACATCCATTACCAAACTACAATTTTTTTTCCAGTTTTACTGAGAAACTAATACACATCACTATGTAAGTTTAATGCATAGAACGTTATGCTCTGATTTACGTGTATTGTAAAATAATTACCACAATAGGTTCAGCTAACACTCATAATACTCATATAGATACAATAAAAAGAAAAGAAGGGGTGCCTGGGTGGCTCAGCTGGTTGAGCATCCAACTTCGGCTCTTGGTTCCTGAGTTCCAGCCCCAGGTCCGGCTCTGTGCTGACAGCTCAGAGCCTGGAGCCTGCTTCAGAACTGTGTCTCCCTCTCTCTCTCTGCCCCTCCCCTGCTTGTGTTCTGTCTCTCTCTCTCTCAAAAAATACATAAACATTTTTAAAAATTTAAAAAAAACAAAGAGAAGAAAAGAATTTTCTCCTTGTGATGATAACTCAGAAGATTTACTCTAATTTTCTTATGTATTAGAGCAGTCATCCATTGTGCATTATAACTCCAGTAATTATTTATCTTACACTTGGAAGTTTGTACATCCTGATCACCTTCTGCAAAATTTTTTTTTTAACATTTATTTATTTTTGAGAGACAGACAGTGAGACACAATGCGAGCAGGGGAGGGGCAGAGAGGGAGGGAGACACAGAATCTGAAGAAGGCTCCAGGCTCTGAGCTGTCAGCACAGAGCCCAACATGGGCCTCAAACCCACGAACTTCAAAATCATGACCTGAGCTGAAGTTGGACGCTTAACCCACTTAGCCACCAAGGTGCCTTTTTAATGTATCACTCTTAAGAGCAAACTTCAAGTGTAAAATATCAAAAATAATGTATATAGGGATCTGTGGCTGGCTCAGTCGGTATAACATAAGACTCTTGACCTGGTTGTGAGTTTGAGCCCCAGCTGGGCATAAAGTTCACTTTAAAAAATGTATATACAGGGGTGTCTGGATGGCTTAGTTGGTTAAGCATCTGACTTCAGCTCAGGTCATGCTCTCATGGTTTGAGAGTTTGAGCCCCAAGTTGGGCTCTGCACTGCCAGTGCAGACCCTGCTTGGGATTCTCTCACTCTTTCCCTGTCTCTCTGCCCCTCTCCAACTCAAACTTTCTCAAAATAAACTTAAAAAAATAAAAATAGGGGCGCTGGGTGGCTCAGTCGGTTAAGCGACCGACTTCAGCTCAGGTCATGATCTCGCAGTCTGTGAGTTCAAGCCCCACATCGGGCTCTGTGCTGACCGCTCAGAGCCTGGAGCCTGTTTCGGATTCTGTGTCTCCCTCTCTTTCTGACCCTCCCCCGTTCATGCTCTGTCTCTGTCTCAAAAATAAATAAATGTTAAAAAAATTTTTTTTAAATAAAAATAAAGGCCACATTTAAAATAAATAAAATAAAAATAAAAAATAAAATAAAATAAAAATAAAAATAAAAATAAAAAATGCATATACAGAAACAGAACAAGGGATGCCTGGGTGGCTAAGTTGCTTAAGCATCCGATGCTGGCTCAGGTCATGATCTCAGTTTGTGAGTTGAAGCCCAACATCAGGATGTCTGCCGTCAGCGCAGAGCAGGCTTTAGCTCTTCTGTCTCCCTCTCTTTCTGCTCCTTCCCTTCCTCTCTCTTGCGTGCTCTCCTTTTTTAATATTTAAAAAAAATTTTTTTTAACATTTATTCATTTTTGAGAGACAAACAAAGCATACGTGGGGGGAAGGGCAGAGTGAGAGGGAGACACAGAATCCAAAACAGGCTCCAGGCTCTGAGCTGTCAGCCCAGAGCCCGACGAAGGGCTTGAACTCACGAACCAGGAGATCACAACCCCAGCCGAAGTCGGACGCTTAACCAACTGAGCCACCCAGGCACCTCAGCATGCTCTCTCTTAAAAATAAACATTAAAAAAAATAAAAAATAAAATAAAACAAAACAAAATAAAATAGAGCAAAACAGGGGTGCTTGGCTGGCTCAGACTGTGGAGCACGTGATTCTTGATCTTGGAGTTCTAAGTTTGAGCCCCACATGGCGTGTGGAGATAACTTAAAAATAAAAAAATAGGGGCGCTTGGGTGGCTCAGTCAGTTAAGCATCCAACTGCAGTCCAGGTCAAGATTTCACAGTTCATGGATTCTAGCCCCGAGTGGGGCTCTGTGCTGACAGCTCAGAGCCTGGAGCCTGCTTCAGATTCTGTGTCTCCCTTTCCCTCTGCTCCTCCACCACTCACACTCTGTTTCTCTAACTCTAAAAAAATGAATAACGTTAATAATAATAATAATAATAATAATAATAATAATATCTTTAAAAAATACTAAAATAAAATAGAACAAAACAACAAAGAGGTAGAAAATAGGAGAAATAATATAAAAATTAAGTGCCTGGGTGGCTCAGTTGGTTAAGCAGCCAACTTGATTTTGGCTCAGGTCATGATCATGGTTTGTGAGTTTGAGCCACGCATAACGCTTTGTTTTTTGCACTGGCAGTATGGAGCCGGCTTGGGATTCTCTCTCTGCCCTTCCCGGCTCCCACTCTCTCAAAATAAATAAAAGAGGAAAAGAAAAGAAAAGAAAAGGAAAGGAAAGAAAAGAAAAAAAAAGAAGAGACAAAAGAACAGAAAATGTCCTAGAATAGTAAAACAAGAGCTTCTACATTGAATGAATGAAAAAGGACCCACATCAAGGCCCATGAGAACATAGAATTAAATATTCTTTTTTTTTTTTAAATTTTTTTTTTCAACGTTTATTTATTTTTGGGACAGAGAGAGACAGAGCATGAACGGGGGAGGGGCAGAGAGAGAGGGAGACACAGAATCGGAAACACGCTCCAAGCTCTGAGCCATCAGCCCAGAGCCTGACGCGGGGCTCGAACTCACGGACCGCGAGATCGTGACCTGGCTGAAGTCGGATGCTTAACCGACTGCGCCACCCAGGCGTCCCTAGAATTAAATATTCTAAAAGCTTTCAGGGAGGGGCTCCTGGGTAGGTCAGTCAGTTAAGCATCCAACTTCAGCTCAGGTCTTGATCTCACAGTTCGTGGGTCCGATCCCTGCATCAGGCTCCGTGCCTGCTTGGGATTCTTGTTTCTGTCTCCCTCTGCCCCTCCCCTGCTCACGCTCAGTCTCTCTCTCAAAAAATAATTAAAAAAAAAAAAAAAAGATTTTAAAGCTTTCAGGAAGTAAAAAATGTGCCACATACAAAAGCTCAGATACCAGAATGGCATTGTATCAATCAAGTGTGAAGGCAGAATAAAGGGAAACATAGACTTAGGCTTGCAAGGCTTTTTTTTTTTTTTTCCCTCTTAATTACAGAGAGTGCGCATGCTCCAACAAGTGAATAAGGGAGAAGAACAGAGGGAGGGAGGGAGGGAGGGGGAGGGAGAGAGGAGGGGAGGGAGAGAGGGAGAGGGAGGAAGTGGGGAGAGAGGAGAGAGAGGGAGAAAGAGGGAGAGAGAGAGAACCTTAAGTAGGCTCCATGTTCAGCTTGGAGCCCAACGTGGGGCTAGATTCCAGCATCCTGGGACCATGCACTGAGCCAAAATCAAAAGTCATCTTGAACACCGAAGAATGCTCAATGACTGAGGTACCCAGGCACCCCTAGGCTTACAAGGTTTTAAGCCATCTATTTCCAATGCTCTCTTCTCTTCACACTGTTTTTTATAAAGCTATCCTAAGCCTGGTTTCATCAAGGGCATTCTTCATTGAAACTAACATGCCCCTGACCAAGAGCAGGGAGAAAATATGGTAATGACTAGTACAGTTTGGTGCTACTGCCTTGATGCCTCCTAAGGCACCAGCAGTATAACCCACATTGCTTTTGTGGTATTAGTGCAATGTCAACACAGTGGAAAAGGTAGTAATAGCTTACTATTATTATGAAAACACTTTTGACCTCATGGACCCAAAATATGGTCCCTATTTTGAGAAACACTGGAAGAGAAAAAATTATGGACATTTACCTGTTTCTTCTGTTCAGTGGGAGACACACATTTGGCACCAACCTTCTCAGCTTCCTCAAAAAGGCTGTCAACAAAATATTCACAATTTGTTTGTCGATCATCACTAAGAGGTTGGTTGTCAGATCCTGTTTCACAGACCCTACACATAAAAAAAGAAAAATAAGCAGTCCTAATTTTCCAAAAAGTTACATGAATTGTTCTTGTTAAGGGATCTTGAACTCAGACACTTCCTTGTACACAATTCACACTCACTTCTAAATTAAAAATTTTTTAATGTTTTATTTTTGAGAGAGAGAGAGAGAGAGAGAGAGAGAGAGAGGGAGGGCGGGCGGGAGGAGGGAGAACAAGCAGGGGAGGGGCACAGAGACAGGGAGACACAGAATCTGAAGCAGGCTCCAGGCTCTGAACTGTCAGCATAGAGTCCAATGCAGGGCTTGAACTCGTGATCCACGGGACCATGACCTGAATAGAAGTTGGATGCTTAGCTGTTGACTAAACCACCCAGGTGCCAAGACCTGTTTCTAAATTAAGATTCCAGCAGATATGTGACCTTGGGAAGTCATTAACCCTTTTGGTCCAGAGCAAGGTCTTCTCCATTTCAGTCTACTCACATTTGGGGAGGGATAGTTCTTTGTTGTGTGAGCTGCCCTGTCCATTGTAGGATATTCAGCAGCATATGTGGCCTTTATCCAGTAGATGCCAGTATCATGCTTCCTCCACCCACCCCTTCTTCCAGTGTTACAACAACTGAAACCATCTCTAGACATTCCCAGGTGTCCTCTGGGGGACAAAACTTCACCAGGTTGAAAATCACTGGTCCAGAGGAAAAAAATGTGTTCTTTGTAAAAAGCTCAAAATAGCTTCACAAGGTTACTACAAAGGCTGTTTTTTGTTTTTTGTTTTTTTCTTTGCTATCAGCACAGAGCCCGATGCTGGGCTCCATCCCACAAATTGTGAGATCATGACAAGAGCCACAACCAAGACTAGGACTCTTAACCTACTGAACCACCCAGGTGCCCTTGCAGAGGCTGCTTGTAGGCAAACAGGGTTGAGCAATGGAATGTGAAAAGGTCCCACAGTGACCACTTGGCTATGAAGAGGCCCAGCAGGTGACCCACCTCAAAACATCCATAGGCCCTAACAATGGGCTACTCACAACCAAGAAGTTACCAAAAAAGGGAAAATTCCATGTGTTCCCATACCTCTTCACTTTTCCCCTCTAAAACAACCCCCACCCACTGCCTTGTTCCAGTTCCTCCTCTGCAGTCCTGCCCCTGCTCCTTTGAAGTGTATTCAATAAACCCTATCTCCTTTGTTCTGCCTGAGGTGAATTCTTTCACATTTGAGGGCCCCCATCCAATCGATTGAGAGACACCCCATTTAGACACCACAGTTACTATGTACTTTTTGGTCACAGAAAGCACTTTTGAAACTAAAGGGGATAGTGTGTCAGGAACGGTCCTAATCATAGTTTTGATTTGCGTAACTTCAGAATAAGACTTCTCACTGAAGACTTTGATCTGTAATTAATACTCCACTATTTTTTTTTTAATTTTTTTTTTAACGTTTATTTATTTTTGATACAGGGAGAGACAGAGCATGAACGGGGGAGGGTCAGAGAGAGAGGGAGACACAGAATCTGAAACAGGCTCCAGGCTCTGAGCAGTCAGCACAGAGCCCAACGCGGGGCTCGAACTCACAGACCGTGAGATCACGACCTGAGCCGAAGTCGGACGCTTAACCGACCAAGCCACTCAGGTGCCCCGATACTCCACTATTTTTTAAATCAATTATCTTATTTATTATTTTTACATAAAAATTTTTTTTAATATATTTATTTTTGAGGAGGAGAGAGGCGGGGGGGGGGGGGGAGGCACAGAGGGAAAAGGGAAAGAGAGAATCCTAAACAAGCTCCATGTTCAGCACACAGCCCGACATGGGGCTCAATCCCATGACCCTGGGATCATGACCTGAGCTGAAATCAAGAGTTGAACTCTCAACCAACTGAGCCACCCAGGCGCCCCTTATTATTCAAGATTTTCTTTTTAAATAATCTCAAAGCCCAACATGGGACCTGAATTTACAACCAGGAGATCAAGAGTCACATGCTCCTCTGACTGAGCCAGCCAGGTGCCTCTCTATTTTTCTTTTTTTAAATGGTTATTTATTGGGATGGCTGGGTGTCTCAGTTGGTTAAGCGTCCGACTTTTGGTCAGGTCATGATCTTGCAGTTCATGGGTTCGAGCCCCATGTTGGGCTCTGTGCTGACAGCTCAGAGCCCGGAGCCTGCTTTGGATTCTGTGTCTTTCTCTCTCTGCCCCTCCCCTGCTCGTGCTGTCTCTGTCTCTGTCTCTCTCTCTCTCTCTCTCTCTCTCTCAAAAATAAACAAACATTGGAAAAAAATTTTAATGTTTATTTATTTTGAGAAAGAGAGAGAGAGAGGGAAAGAGGGAGAGAGCATGAGTGGGGAAGGGCAGAGAGAGAGAGGGAGAGAGAGAGAATCCCAAGCAAGCTCTACGTTGTCGTAGAGCCCAATGTAGAGCTCAAACCCATGAACCGTGAGTTCATAGCCTGAGCTGAAATCAAGAGCTGGACACTCAACCGACTGAGACACCCAGGCACCTCTCTATTTTTTCTTAAATTTAGGTATAAACTGACATATTAGTTTTAGGTCAACAACATGATTTGATATTTGTACATACTATGAAATGATCAGCACAGCAAGTCTAGTTAACATATATCACCATTAACAGTTACAGAATTTTTTTGTGTCATGAGAACTTTTCAAAAAAATTTTTTTAATGAGGGGCGCCTGGGTGGCTCAGTCGGTTGAGCGTCCGACTTCGGCTCAGGTCACGATCTCGCAGCTGGTGAGTTGGAGCCCCACGTCTGGCTCTGTGCTGACAGCTCAGAGCCTGCTTCAGATTCTGTGTCTCCCTCTCTCTCTGCGCCTAGCCCACTCGCATTCTCTGTCTCTCTCAAAAATAAATAAACATTAAAAAAAATTTTTTTAATGTTTTGAATGATTTTACAAATTTTTTAATGTTTATTTTGGGGGGACACAGAATCTAAAGCAGGCTCCAGGCTCTGAGCTGTCAGCACAGAGCCTGCTGCAGGGCTCCAAATCACAAACTGTGAGATCATGACCTGAGCTGAAGTAGGATGCTTAACGACAGCCACGCATGTGCCCCAGTGACGAGAACGTTTAAGATTTACTCCCTCAGCAACTTCCCAATATACAACAGAATATTATTAACTATAGTTGCTATGCTGTATAGTATATCCCCATTACTTATGACTGGAAATTTGTACCTTTTGAGTCTCTTTGTCCATTTTGCCTACTCCCATCTACTGGTTTTTATTTTGCATTTATGTTTTATTTTGTATTTTTATTTTGCACTATGTTTTTTATGAGAAATGTGTAACTTTTAAAAAATGTTCATTTATTTTTGAGATAGAGACAGAGCAAGAGTGGGGAGGGGCAGAGAGAGAGGGAAACACAGAATCCAAAACTGGCTCCAAGCTCTGAGTTGTCAGTACAGAGCCCAACAAGGGGCTTGAACCCACAAACCGTAAGACCATGACCTGAGCCAAAGTCAGATGCTCAACTGACTGAGCCACCCAGGTGCCCCTGTCATAAAAGAAATACTACTGAAGATATTATTTGAAAGAAAAGATGGTTTCTGGTTTATCTTTTTTTAAGTCATACAGAAAATTCATCTATGTACTGAAATACAATTTCTCAGATTCCATAAATAATGACAACATTTTTGGAGCTCTCATACTGTGCCAGGAACTGCAAGGTAGATATTCTTAGCCACATTTTTATAGATAAGGAAAATGAGTCACAGAAAGGCTAAGTTACGTGAATTTACACAGCTAGTAAGTGACAAAGACAGAATCCAAACCCTGTTAATCCGTCTTCCGCATCTATGCACCTAAGCATGATATGCTATAAAGCTTCTCTCTTTTCTTTTTTTAAATTTTTTTAACGTTTATTTTTGAAACAGAGACAGAGCATGAGCGGGGGAGGGAGAGAGAGAGGGAGAGACACAGAATCTGAAGAGGGCTCCAGGCTCTGAGTTATCAGCACAGAACCCGATGCGGGGCTTGAACTCACGGACCTTGAGATCATGACCTGTGTCGAAGTCGGACACTTAACCAACTGAGCCACCCAGGCGCCCCTATAAAGCTTCTCTTAATAGCTAACATTTACTGAGCATTTATTATATATTTTAGGAACTATTTTAAGTACTCCACATGAGTTAACTCATTCAACCCGCACACTGACCTAAAAGGCACATATTATTTTTATCCCTGTTTAACACGTCAAGAAAAAGCTTAAGCAAGTTGCCCAAGATCACAAAACTATTCGAAAGCAGTTCGAAAACTGAACTCAGGCACCCAATGCCTGTACTCTTAACCACTGTCCTAGACAAAATAGTCATCACTATATTATTATGTGCTGGGGCACCTGGCTGGCTCAGGCAGTAGACAATGTATTTCTTGATCCTGGAGTCATGAGTTCGAGCCCCATGTTGGGAATAAAGATTACCTCATAAAAAATAATAACCTTTAAAAAACTGCCAACACTCAGAGCAATATTTTAATGTAGGCATGCTCTTTTTACTCTTCTAGGTGATCTCTGTATACAAAGATGCTTCATATTATCACAAAGTATTAATTTTATTTTGCATTTATGTTGTCATAAAAGAAATATTAAAATTTTAATGTTCACTATTTTTGAGAGAGAGACAGCACGCGAGCGGGGTGGGGCCTTTCTCAGAGCAAAGACAGGATACTTCTTAATAAAAAGAATCACATGCTGAGACAATTTCTCACAGTACTAATGACTTTCCCGTCTCTTCAGTCAGTACAGCTGTGTAGCAGTAGAGGCTACTGCCTAACAGTTGAGGCTCTGGTGTCTGTGTTTAGGAACTGAGTCACACTGACTGGGTGAGAAACCTACTAGCCTCTGTGTGATGGGGCTTCTCACCTGCAAATGCAGATACTACCACCTATCTTTCATGGTTGCTGTGAAGATTAGAAGCAAACACATACAAAAACCTATACCTGATATACAGTTTCTGTCAGTACACGCACTGGCACACAATATTAGATAATGACATCATTATGACC